GTTTCCAAATCAGCTATGTTGGCCTAGATTGTTCACTTCTCCTGCCTTCTCCAAACTCTTCACCCTTTTGTGAAAAGACCTGTCAACATACTGTATGTATTATATTTATTCACTCAATTCTGAATAAATATAATACATGAAACACCCTTAAAGAAGTTTAAAAGTCACAGCATATACTATACTATTAAAACGGCAACATTGTAAAAGAAATACACGCTAGAGTTTTTTATGATATTGCAATCAAAGCTTACGTTAAAAAATCCTTTTATGCAGTGAGTGCTGCCTGCTGTCTGCCCATCGCTTTCACCAATTACCTGGATTCCCAGTGTGCTTTGTGTCTCTTTCCCTGCTGCTTGATGTGATGCATTCTCAACATCTCAAGACTACATATTCCAGCATGCATTGCTTCCAGCAAACAATGATAATGTTGCATTGTTCAGAAGTTAATTCGTAGTTCAGAAGGTAGGCTCTGTGAGAGTTGTGACACAAGTGCATATTTACAGTCAGTAAATTTATGAAGGGCATCCTATGGGCATCTTCAAAAGGTACATTTTCAAACTTCTAGATCAATATGGGTGGGATAGAACTTATGAAAACTCATTATAGAAATACATATTTATTTTTAGTTTTTGATCATAGATAACCTTTAAAATAGTATATATTGAGTAATATCCATCAGCAGAACATTATACAGTGCATTGTTTAATAATAGTGTGTGCCCATCATTTACTTTGCTTATCGCTTCATTGCACTGACTCCAGATCGCTCCGTGCCACTTCCTTTACCTTCCGGGTGGGGAAGCAAGCACATTGGCGACACACGAGGAGAGGGAGCTGGAGGCTGGTACGTGCTCACTGAGGAGAGAGGAGAGTAAGCTGGAGGGGGGAACGTGTGTACTGGGGAGAGGTAGCTGGAGGGTGGCACATGCACACTGAGGAGAGAGGACGTGTGTACTAAGGAGAGGGAGCTGGAGGGTGGTGCATGCACACTGAGGGGAGGGAGCGGGAGGGTGGCACAAGCGTACTGAGGAGAGCAGAGTGGGAGTTGGAGGAGTGGCACATGCACACTAAAGAGAGAGGAAAGTGAGCTGGAGGGTGGCACATGCGTGCTGAGGAGAGAGGAGAGGTAGCTGGAAGGTGGCATGTGTGTCCTAAGAAGAGGGAGCTGGAGGGTGGCGCGTGCACACTAAAGAGAGAGGAGAGTGAGCTGAAGGGTGGCCCGTGCATACTGAGGAGAGAGGAAAGGGAGCTGGAGGGTGGCGCGTGCACACTGAGGAGAGAGGAGAGGGAGCTGGAGGGTGGCACGTGTGTACTGAGGAGAGGGAGATGGAGGGTGGCCCGTACACATTGAGGAGAGGGAGCTGGATGGTGGCACGTGTGTACTGAGGACAGGAAGCTGGAGGGTGGTGCATGCACACTGAGGAGAGAGGAGAGGGAGCGGGAGGGTGGCACATGCATACTGAGGAGAGGGAGCTGTAGGTCTCCGTGTGAGAAGGACAAACACTGGAGCGATTGTCTGATCACTCCAGTCAGTGGCGGAACTACCAGTGTCGCAGAGGTCGCAGCCGCGACCGGGCCCTGGAGTTCGGCCACTTGGAGGGGGCCCAGGACAGGAGGAAGGGGCCACTGGTGACCGCTGATTACCAGTCCTGGGACCTCTTCCTCCCGTCCTGGGCCCTACATGCTTCACACGGCTCCCCTCATCTTGTTCCGGGCGCAGCGTGAAGCATCATCCAGCCGGACAGCAGCCAATGAGAGGGAGCGGTGTAATCCCCGCCCCCTCATCACACAGAACTGCCGCCGAGTGCTCGATACATGTTTGGTGTCTATTTACCCGACGTGACCCCGTCTTTTTATATTTTACCAAAAATATGGGTGATAAATGGGTGTGGTTACTGGGGGTGTGGCCACTAAAGGGTGTGGCCACTGAGGGGTGTGGTCACTGAGGGGCGCTGTAAAGCTTTCTTGCACAGGGCGCCTAAAGGCCTAAGGCCGGCCCTGGCTGTAGGTGGCATGTTTGTGCTAAGGAAGGAGGAGAGGGAGCTGGAGGGTGGCCTGTGGATATTGAGGAGAGAGAAGGGGGAGTTGGAGGGTGGTCCATGTATACTGAGGAGACAGGAGAGAGAGCAGGAGGGTGGTGCATGCACACTGAGGAGAGGGAGCAGGAGGGTGGCACATGATGTGCACTTAAGAGAGGGAGTAGGAGAGTGGCGAATGCATACCGAGGAGAGATTTGTTGAGAGCAGGGGAGGCTTTTGGGAAAGCTGTGTTAATGTATGCATGCCAGGAGCGTGCACACAAAGGGTGGCTACATGGGACCCTGGTAGGGAATGGAGCCACCAGAAAAAAGGAACGTGGGAAGAAAGGCACTTTAATAGAAGTGCAGAGAAATCACAAGCTTGGGTGAAAAAGCACACAGTAAGCAAGGTAAGTGCAATGGTCTACAGCACTTTATGCTTTTTTCACTTCAGGGTTTAATGATGCTTTTATACAAAAGTGTCCACAAACAGAACTTTAGCACACTACGTGACATTAATCCATTTAATATAAGGATAGTCCAAATTTATATTATAGACATGTGAAGTGATGGAAATCTTCTGACAAATGATGTGTCCACATTGTGTTCACTGGGCACCTCATGATCTCATTGCACAACTTCCAATATTTTCTCAACATCTATTTTACTGTGAGTCAAGCCATTATACCACTTAGCCACGTCCAGATTTTTCAGCAGCATGTATCTCTTCTTTATCACCCTATAAACTGATTTCCCAAGTTGAAATCTCTGCGTACATACTTTGTACTATAGTGTGTCCCTCTTTCCCATTTCAGAAATTTGGGACCGGTGTTGCTCGACGCGAAACGGAATTGGACACACCACCGGGACGTATGCATAGCGGGTGGCTTTTTTAATCAAACTTCTAACTTTGGAACAACATCACGTTTGTTTCTTTTAGGGCCTTTCACACTAGTCGCATGGTAAATCTCAACATTTTACCGTACGGCTAGTGATCACTGAGTGATACCTGTGAGCTGCAATACCTTGCATTGTTATAACCCGAGGTGCTGTCTACTTTATTTGGTGCTTACAAACTGTACATTGCATTTAGGTCTCTGCATACCTGCGTGGTTTACTGTGCTACGGTGACCTGTATTGCCGTACAGTGCACCACAAATCACACCTGCGTTAACAAGGCACATAGTAAACAATTGTTTTCTGTGTGGCCATGTGAACAGCTGCATTTTTATAGTCCTGAGAAACGTAGCTCTCCACACAAATGTGACACAAAGAGATAACTACACCACCTAGGTATTTCTTGTGCCCTTGTTTCCTGGTAGATTAGAAGCAGGTTTTACAGTAGCATCGTCCATCTCAGAAATGACCAGCAGGTGGCGCTTAAAACACCGGAAATGTGAGTGTGACTGTCGGGGGCGGATGACGTCATCCTGAAAGCCCTCTATGCACTATTATGTAAGCAGCCGCTGGAGTAGCGCGTTCGTGTGAATGTTATACAAGGAGGAGGCACGCGCGGCAGGTAGTATACACAGGGAAAGGGCCTGAGTGATGGGTCACTGAGTGACAGGACTGCAACATCAAGCCTTCTACAAGCACAGTGCTTGTACATCTGTGAAAGGAGACATTGATTAGACTGGCATCTTTTTAGGTGAGAACATTATAGCCAAATGCATGTTCCATTATTTCAATGAATGTCAGGGTTTTGATGTTTCACAGGGCTGTGACTGAATGCTTGTCTGGTAATTGGCTGTTGCTGGCCTGAAACAAGCATGCAGCCAGTAAAATCTGAATTCCCATTCTGCATGCTTATTTCAGATCAATGACAAGCAATGAGGGGAAATCATCAAAACTGTAGTAATTGCCTATGGCAACCAATTATCTTCTAGCTTGGCTTTACAAAGTTTCACTGAACAATCTGAAAAGAGAAACTGATTGGTTGTCATGGGCAACTGCTCCAAATTTAATCTATTCCCCCCCATTGTGTTATAACCAGGGTGACAATGACAGGACCATCATGGTGCAGGACCCTTGGGGTGATCTGCTCCTGATCGTCTTTCTGGTTGATTTATCACCTAGGCGTTTTAACCCCATACTGGAATTGAGTAGCGGTAACTTGTTACTAGAGTAATATATATGCTGCTATTACTGCTCATTTCTTCTGAAAATGCTCATAATAAAAGGCATGTTCTACATATTGCTAAAAAGGAATGAATGTACCCATACTGCAAAAAGAAAATAACATGCATTTCTCATTTTTTATTGCATTGGAGCCTGCAAAGCATTGCAGCCATGATCCGTAGATCATGGGTGTAATGCACAGGCTCCTGTAGACTATTACCCCAGCCACAGATCAGTATAGAAGTGTTGACGTTTGGTTATGGAGCTGAAGGAAGTAATAGACTGTATGTGTGGTGATGTCACCATGCTTGTGTTCTATTGAGATCTACAAGTCCCTCTGCTAATGTGGCTGGCAGTATTTTTTCTTCTTACAGACTCCGTGAATGAATGACCTGGCTGAGTGGGCTGAGTCATGCAGAGCTGTGCCAAATAAAAATAAAAAAATGCTGCTGCAGGGATAAGTACCCCACGATTCAGGTAGTGTGAGTGTAAAGGGAAGCAGTGGGATAGCACCATGTAGTATGGGTGGAACATGCACTGGAATTCATAGAGCGTCTGCAAAACTCTTTAGAATTCCATCGTGCATCCACCTGACAAATGTCAGTACTTGCCCCAGATTCATGTACTCGTTGCGAACAGGTGCATCAATTTGGCAGAAGCACCAACGTTTGCTGTTACTTAATAGTTGAAGGCGGAGTCCAGGAACTGGTCTTGCAGTGTGGGCCCTTTAATGATGCCACTGGCAACCAATACGGCTTCAGCTTAGAAAATGATTGCTACAGATGAAACCTCTTATTCTACTCTTTAGTTCCACTCTGTTTAGATGATCTCTAATTCCTTTGCTCTTAGATTACTCTTGACTGCCAAGCTGACCCTAAGGTTCTTGAATCTGGTTCGTCCCTTGATAACAGGCAGAATTATGCCTCCGAAAGTGAAGCCATCAAAGAGCAAGAAAGAAGAGTCTGGCAGTGAAAAGTCTGATGGCAGCCAGAAAAATGGTAAGATGCTAGCGCCCAAACCTAAGTCATCTGGTACAGCCAAAATTCCAGCGAAAAGGAAAGCCGAGGGCTCTGCTACGGGCAAATCTAAAGCTATATCTGGGGCAAGCAGTAGTGAAAGCTCAGATGTTGATGCCAAGAAGAAAAAGAAGCCAGAGAAAAGGGATGATGCTGAAGGTGGAGATTTCTTCGATTCCGTGAAGAAGTCTCGTCTGGCTACCGCAGCCTCTGTTTCTGACTTTAAATTTAACAAGAAGAGGGTGCGCTTGGTGTCTGCTGAAGAAAACCTGAAAGATGATGCACAAGGCATAATCTATTGGATGTCAAGAGATCAGAGAGTTGAAGGTACTTCATTTCTGCTTTGTGTATGTGTTGTTGTTGTAGTATATATGTAATGGTTCTTTATGCAATGAACAATAAGGGGAATCTATCAAAACTGGAGCAGACAAAATCTGGAGCAGCTGTGCAAACCTTAACTGAACAGAGAAGCTGATTGGTTGCCCTGGGCAACTGCTCCAGATTTTGTCTGCTCCAGTCTTGATAAAAATTCCCCTCATTGTGTTCTCCATCTACTGGTATAGATAAGCAAATCGGCCTGCTATTCACAGATTCACAATAAGTTTGATAAATCTAACATAGCACAGGAAAATTATATTGCATAGCTAGCTTGAAGTGATGCTAAACTCAGGAGTTAAATCTCAAAAATAAATTCAAATATCCCAAATATTAGCAAATCTGTGGCTTAACTGCACTCAACTGAAGATCCTCAAATCATCTCCGAATGTGTCCTTCCTTCTGGAGGGTGGCTTCTTTTGTTCCCCATGGTCCCTGTGTGTACTTGTAAAGTGGCAAATGCTCTAAACTCTCTCCTTTGATGGACTACATTCTCAATACAAATTAGTAAACTGATTGTGAGATTGTAGTTTATCACGGGAGTGAGCTTAGAGCAGTGACTATTTTACAACACACACAGGGACCATGGGGAAGAAAAGTAGCCACCCCCCAGAAGGAAGGACAGTGTCAGCACCAATTCAGAGATGATTTGAGGATCTACAGCTGACTGATACACAAATAAGATACATTTCTGTTAATAGTTTGGAGGAGGATTACTAAATCCTGATTCAATTCCTAATTTTTATTTATTTTTTTATAACCTAGATCCACAAATGATATTCATCTATATTTACACACACCATCACCTTGTCCATGCAGGGCAAAGGGCATCTCCCAACTCCACTATACTTTCTTTACCTGCACTACCTCAGAGCTCCTTGGTTCTCTACAGCCAGCGCTAAAATCGGCTGGAACAGTGACATGGAGGGGCAGTGATGTCATTATTCAGGTTTTGTGACTGTGCTTGGGCTGCTAGGGGAACAGGTCACATGCTTCCCCATACCCAGAAGTGCCTGCTATTCTCGCTGACTGCGGGAAAGCAAGGGCTTTAAAAAAAAAAAACCTTTGCAGAGACACTCGCTTTGCCTTGCATACACTGCTATTTGCCCAAAAGCTCCTGGAATGTTGATCGTGAGACAAGACCAAGTTCCCTGCAGGACTCCTCGCCAGCTCAACAGGCTAGCATCCACCGTGAGGATCCTTTTAAAAGAAAGAAGTTCTTTCATGATTCAAGCTATAGTCGCTTACATTTTATATTCTATTCTAAATGTTGCATATACATAGCAATATAAAATGGATGTTGCTGCTTGGAGTTCAATACTTTGCCATTTATATCTGACGTATGTAGGTGTTTACTCTGATGCATTCATTACGGGTAAATAAATGTATCTCTTTCAGACAACTGGGCTTTTCTGTACGCTCAGCGCCTGGCTGCGAAGCAGAAATTACCACTGCATGTTGTCTTCTGCTTGGTACCGAAGTTTTTGAACGCCACAATCCGTCATTATGGTTTTATGCTGAAGGGCCTGAAAGAAGTTGCTGAGGTACTGTAAAATAAACAAAACACTAAATGCTTCGGTATAAGTAACATGGCCTTTCCAGTAATCTCACCCTTTCTCTAATCCAGGACTGTAAGGAGTTAAACATCCCTTTCCATTTGCTCATTGGATATGCTAAGGATGTTCTCCCAGACTTTGTGAAGGAGAACAGCGTTGGTGGAGTGGTGACGGACTTTGCTCCTCTTCGTGTGCCTATGCAGTGGGTCCAGGAGGTCTCTGAACGCTTACCTAAGGATGTACCACTAGTTCAGGTATAAAGTTCATAGCTCTACCTCTAGGTTTGTATGATCTGGGCCAAAAGTCTCTTATAAATGGATGCCGATTTTAAAGAAGAACTTTGGGGAAAAGTATTAGTTACCTCTGGAGCGGGGCTACTATCACACTGCAAGGGTTAAGTGCTTGTTTTGGTCTAGGGAGGAAAATAACAAAGTTATACTCACCCAATCCTTGGAGCCAGCTTGCCTTTAGACCGGTCTCTGGAGCCTTTCCCCCCCCCCCCCCTCCGTTCCAGCGGTCTAAGGTCCCGTAATCCAACACATTCTATACACAGTGTAACACCAAGGGACATACCATTGCTGCAGTGAAGGAGACAGGCTGGAGGGAGCAATGCCACAGCTGGCTGGCCCCGAGGATCAGGTGGGTATAACTTTATTTGCCTCCCTAGATAAAAATGAGCAGTTAACCCTTGCAGTGCAGGGGTAGCCACACTAAATGTGTTGACAATAATTTTCCATGGAGTTCTGCTTTAAGGCAATGGCTATAATGCACCATTCGGCTCAGCAAAGTGCTTGCTCTGTGCCACATTAAAATCAATGCTTACATTCCAAAGCAATGGCACTCTCCAGTTTGTTTATTTTGTCCTGTTTTATATTGCAAAAGCTGCCAGGGCATGAAACCCTCCTGGATCATCACAGCAAACAGTCTGGCTGTTCTACACATAAAGAGATTAAAATTGCATTGGGCCAGTGGCTCCAGTTTTTATATAGGTCCTTTGAGAAAACCCTTCTGCTGTTTCTCATCATTCACAGTGCTTGGCTTAGCTGGCTTATAAATCTATAATAGTTTTAGGTGAATTGTATTTTATTTAACATGAACCTGTGAAAGGGCAAATCAATAGTTTCACTTAAAGTGGAAGTTTAGCGGGAAATCAAAATTGCTTGCAGAAAACTTTTCTTGCCGAAGAGACCCTGTATGTCTCTTTTGCAATGGAATCTTCTTACATTCTTACAGTTTTCCTCTTGCGCATGTCAGCTGGCTAACGCTCGCATAGCTGAACACACCGAAATGAAACATTTCATCTTTGGCCAATCGGCTTGTCCGTACAAACCCGCACGTCGGGATGCAAACTCCATTGAGTTCTTGCACGTGAGTCGATTGGCTGAAGATGAAGTCTTTCATCTTGCTGTGCTCAGCTACTCAAATTCTCACACACTGCATGCAAATGTCTGCCTTGCAGCATCGCTTTGCTGCTCGCGGCTTTGCGTGCAGTGTGTCACAGGCTTTAATTGCACAGAACTAGGTGATTAATGCAATGCAATGGTGTGAACAAGCCCTTAAGGTGGAAAACAATTCTGAAGTGATTTATCTTGGACTGATATATTTTTTTTTATTATTATTATTATTACATCTCAAAAACCCGACATTTTTACAGGGTTGTGAAGACTTTTTATATCCCACATTTTTGAGGATTACCTATATGAGTGTAACTGATGAATGTTACATGTTGTGTAACGCACACCACATCCCCACACAGTGACACACACATGCATCCTTTTACCTTCACTCATACACAAAGAAACACCCCCTATATATAGATCTATATATCTATCTATCTATCTATATATAGATAGATAGATATAGATCTCTCTCTATAGATATATAATATATCGATATATAGATCGATATATCGATATAGATAGATAGATCTATATCTCTATCTATAGATATATAGATAGACACACACACACGACCCCTCTGCAGTCGTCAAATCTTACACATGTCTTTGCTATAGTTGACTTGCCTTCTCACGCTGTGTCCATGCCACTGCCCGCAAACAATATGCCTAAGAACTTCTGCACTCTGTGTACATATCACTCTGCCTGCACATGTGTCCCATGGTAGATGAAGACTGAAATGTGTTTTACCATGCCCAGAGGTTATGGAGGCAGCAGTGTGACACCACCATTTGCAGAATGAGAAGGTGTCACTTTTCCTCTTCTCAAATGCCCACCTTACATGTTCAGCTAAATCCTCGAAGTAAATGGATTTTTCAGCACAGACCAATCGTTCATTTTGTTTTATTCACAGGTAGATGCCCATAATATTGTGCCCTGCTGGGTTGCCTCTGTCAAACAGGAGTATGGAGCTCGAACCATCCGCAGAAAAATCCACGATCAGCTCTCTCAGTTCCTCACTGAGTTCCCTCCAGTCATAAAGCATCCATATGATGCCATGTTTAAAGCAGAGGTTAATGCTTGTTTCATTCCTTTTTAATCGTGCAATAGCACTTTGTCCACTGTCACAGAAATATACATGATGTGCACTGATTGTGGTTTTCACTGGTCAGCCTATAGATTGGGAAGCCTGCTATGCCAGTCTAGAAGTGGATCGCACAGTAAAGGAAGTAGAATGGGCAAAACCTGGGTCAAAGGCAGGAGTGGAAATGCTCCAATCATTTATAACACAACGCCTAAAGTCTTTTAACTCGGACCGGAACAACCCGAATCAGCAGGCTCTTAGCAATCTGTCGCCTTGGTTTCACTTTGGTAAGTCATCCAGGAAAAGAAAATCAAGTTTTTTTGCCTTAACATGAGCCCATCTAACATTGTAATTACTAGAAGCACACCAGCAAGTACTGCATCCCACCAGTACTTTTTATAATTGTATAACGTTTCTGAGTTCTAAGAAGCACTGTCAGTGTAGTTTCCGGTTGCATTACTGGGTATAGGTACTCTCTCATACCATGCTAAGAAAAAACAATTCTAGAAGTGCTGCTGCAGCCATCCTACCAACCCCTACACATTGTATCCCTGTATTTGGATGTAGGTGGCTGGCTGAAAAGAGAACAGCTTTAGTACAGGCAAACCTTAAAAAGAGAAGGGCACCCACAAAATTATGGAAAGGCAAGAAATGATATCTCCAGTGTTTAATACAGGTACCCAACAGTTCAACGCTTCGTCACAGCACCACGCCCCTCGCTCCGTCACGCCCTCTGCTCCGTCCCCATCTCATTTAGCGCTCCGTCCCCGCTCTCGGCGCAACACGCCCCTCCCCCCGCTCGTAGCGCCGCTCTCGGCGCTCAAAGAAAGCCAGCCCTGCTACTTGTCCGTAGCAGGGCTAAAACAGTGCAAAAACCACTTGCCCGGCGCCCGGAACTACAAGTCCCGGGCGTCGGGCGATACGAATTCCACACCCCTGCGCTGTGCGGGCCACATTACAAGGTCCGGCGGGCCTTGTGTTTGCCACCCCTGAGTTAGACTGTGCTGAGCAAAATATCTAAGCTGCCATTGTTGACCTCCATCTAAAACTATTAGTTGCTTGGCAGTCATGATAATCTTCTGACTTTAAAGCAGAACTCTGGAGAAAATTATTATAATTAACCTTTGCAGTGGGGCAACCCCCGCACTGCAAGGGTTAACTGCTCATTTTGGTCTAGGGAGGAAAATACCAAAGCTAAATTCACCCGATCCTTGGAGCCTCCAGCCTGTCTCCTACACTGCAGCAGTTGGAATTTATCTCAGCGCCCTCGTGTTCTGTACACTGTGCATAGAACGTGATGAATTACGGGACCTTAAAGGAGAACTATAGGGTTAGGGCTTTTCCCCATAGTTCTAAGGGTAACGGGAGGACACAAACTAGCGTCCTCCCGTCACCCTAAGCTCAGTATACCGCGAGCTACACCTCGCGGTATACTGAGACGCTGCAGCTGAAACGGATCCCGACAATTGTATCTGGATCCGCCCAGCTGCGTGAGTGACAGCTGGCTCTGCCTATCTAAAAGCAGAGCCAGCTGTACCCTTCCCCGTCCGTTCCGCCAGTCAGCGCTGGAGGAGCGGGAAGCGAGGAATCCTGTCTCGGCTCTCTTCCGTGACAGGATCGAGAGGTGAGCGAACGGCGATATGTGTTCGCTCACCTCCCGATCTACTGAGCCGACCTGTGACAGTCTCATTGTCACAGGTCGGCTAGAACTATGAGGTGAGTGAAAATCACTCACCTCATAGTTCTCCTTTTAAACCGCTGCAGTGGAGGAGAGAATCTCAAGGGCCGGTCTACGAGCAAACGGGCTCGGAGGATTTTGAGAGTATAACTTTTTTTTGTATTTTTTCCTCCCTAGATCAAAATGAGCACTTAACCCTTGCAGTGCCGGGGTAGCCCCACTGCAAGGGTTAATAATAATCTCATTCAGAGTTCTGCTCAGTCAGAACTGCTGATATGTTTAACTTTTCAGGGATTTAGAAATGATGTAAGCCATCAGATTCACCTTCACATTTTCAGAAGGAGAGGTCCCCATATTTCTGTTGGCACAGATTTTCGTAGTTCTTAAATATTACACTTTTATGTATATTAAGTACCAGTAACAACTTTCCTGTTCTTTCTCAGGCCAGCTGTCTGTGCAGCGAGCAATCCTGGAGGTACAGAAGTATCGCAGCAAGTGCAAAGAATCTGTAGACAGTTTTGTGGAGGAAGCTGTAGTGAGGAGAGAGCTAGCAGATAATTTCTGTTACTATAACAAGAACTATGACAAAGTGGAAGGTAAATATTGTTATACAGAGTATGGTAAATACATACGTTTTCTGACCGTTCATGTTGCTATTGTTGACATGTAAGTAGAGTTGCACAGATACCAAGTACAGTACTCGGTACAAGTACTGACACTTTTGAGCTCCAAGACTAGACTAGAGAAAAATTCAAAAATTAGGAGGCCGCTGTCATTTGTAAGGAGCACACGGAGCCCCCGGGATTTGTACATCTTTGTTTTATTGTATGATTTTGTTTTTATAAATAAAGGGATGCACAGATACCAGTTTTGCGAGTACTGGTACTTGCCGAGTACTTACAAGTACGAGTACTGATACATTTTTGTTTGTCATGTGACAGTTTTTCTAAAACAATACAGACTAATGATTTCAGGACAGTTGCGGAGTGCCAGAGCCAGGTCCCAGCTGCAACCCTGGTAGTTCTCATGAAAATGCCAAGTATCTGTGCATCCCTACATGTAAGCTTCCCTAAAAGCACAGAAGATGCTGGGGTATATACCACCACTAGGAGTCATGGACTAAGGCAGGGGTGGGCACTACTGGCCCACCAGCTGTTGTGGAGCTACAAGTCCCATGAAGCATCACAAGAATGACAGTTACAGGCATGACTCCTAGAGGCAGAGGCATGTTTGGATATGTAGTTAAAGCACAGCTGGAGTTGCCCACCCCTGAACTAAGGTAGAGTAACCTGAAAAGATCTCAATTAAACCACTGTCTACCTTTTCTCCAGTATTGAGTGCTTTGTTAGAAGCATCTGTTACGGCTACACTTGAGTACTGACCTCACTGGATACTGATTAGCTTTGCTGATACCCATAGTGATAGCAGGAAGGACCCTAATCTTCCCTACTGATGTGAGCTTCTCTCACCACTGCCCCTGTTGGGTTCCTAAGCCCCCTTCATTCTAGAGCAGGAGAGGAGGGCTTAGTCCTGACTGTGTATCCAACAGCTTTTAACAAGTTCTTTTGCCTAAATGAGGAAAGGTGTTTCTGGACCCTGACCCACCTTCAGCCTACACTATCTTCCAGAATCATAAAGGGAAAGCATGTCAGCGACTTGGTCCACTGTAGAACTAAGGGATGCATAATTAGGATTCACTGAGCGACCCCCACACTGCTTGCCATGGCAGGTTTATTTTTGCTATCATTGGTAACCTTTGTGCTTTTGAATTCATCAGGCAGGACTTGGCATTCTGCTATTTACTCTATTTGTGGGTTCACATGAGGGACAGTAAGAACCATTACTGGTAATGCTAATGTGGGGACATATTTCAGGGAGGCCTGATGTGGACTTTACTCCTCTTCCACTGGTGCTCTGAGCTCAGTTAAAACATTATACTTAAGATTGGAGCCCAGACTTTCCCTCAAATCACTTCCTGCCATATATACCAGTTAACTGCTTTTTTTTGTGTTACTTTGCGTAACATGTTTCAGTGGGGTGTTTTCCATTCAATGGGTCCATGAAGACAGGCACCAGAAATGCAACAATCAAGTGAATGTTCAGTATAAACAGTATATGTTGGGAGTTGGTTTAGTCTTCTTTCGCTTTTCAGAAGTGTTTTGTAATATTACATATTTGCTACTACAATCTGTTGGACAGTCATAGATCAAGCTGTACAAAAATGTTCTTAAACCTGCAACATAGCATATTGGTAAAATATTAATAACACCCTTTGAAAACTTCCAGTGATGGACTGGATAAAGATATTTATTCTGTATATTAACACACACATTCATTACTGCTAAGGTGCTTATGAATGGGCAAAGAAGACCCTGAAAGATCATGAAAAAGACAAGAGGACACCTATATACAGCCTGGAAAAACTGGAAAGTGGGAAGACTCATGATCCATTGTGGAATGCAGCACAGGTATTGGATTTTAGGTTCAGTTATTCAGAACCCTATATGGGCTGTAGACTGTAATAACAGATCTAAGCTAACAGCCTCTACCTAAGCTTCATAAGCCTCCTTGCCTTAATTATGCTCTACAGTGCTCTGCGTACATTGTGCTTTACTTACTCCCTGGCATAAAGGGGCTGCACCCCCTGCTTAGTCTTCTCAAAATGACTTTATAGGCCATTGCCTAACTCTAAACCAGCATACCACTTTTTGTTTCTGGAGATTAAACCAGCAGGAGTATCCCTACTGATAGCTTTACTACTGCTGGTATAGCTCTCAAGATCATTTGACTAAACAAGCCCTGCCGAAGTGGAGATACCTTCAGGAGGAGGTACATGCTTTGTGTGTGTTTGTATAGAGAGCTATAGGTGCATGCAAAGTTGGACCACCTGATTTTCATAAAACTGTTTGGATAAAATTGGGGCGGATCAATGTACTCCTACTCTGGAACATGCAGTAAATGTAACACTCATCACAGTACTTGGGATCTTAGATGAGCAACAACTGCTTGTTAGCAGCTGGCTGTTGTGTTCCTGCATCACATGGATGAAAAGTCTTGCATGTTGAATAATGTATTTTTTTTTAACACAGCTGCAAATGGTTCATGAAGGAAAGATGCATGGCTTCCTCCGTATGTATTGGGCTAAAAAAATCCTTGAGTGGACTAATTCTCCAGAGGAGGCTCTAAAATTTGCCATTTATCTCAATGACCGGTATGAACTGGATGGACGGGACCCTAATGGATATGTAGGTAAGAATATGCCAGTCTCCATGGTTCATTGTAAAAGGAAGGATTAGAAACATTTTTGCATGTTGTCTGTGTCACCATTGAAGAGATTTCCCCTTACCTTTTGCCTTTCCGACACCCATCATCTGTACAGAGAGCGAGGGGAAATCTCTCCAATAAGGAGCAATAAAAATATGAGGATTCTGACCCTTTCGCACTGTTGGAAAATATTTTTTGGCGGTCTGTATCTCTGTTGTGTTATGGCATGCATTAAAAAGATAGAGAAACTAATGGAGAGAAACCACATGGATGGGGCAGAGACGGCAAGAAAACAGACGGAGGTTCTGCTGAATAAGGATTTTACAGTGAATACAGAAATCCTGATATGAGTAATTTTCTTTCTCATCCGTTGAGGCAAATCTGGGAAACACTTGATACTGAAAAGACCAAAAAGCACTAGATAGGGAGGGATGGAACCCAGTTCCTTGCGACTATTGGCTTGGATGACAGTTTGTCTAAGTTACCTAGTAATGGGAGAATGAACAAGGGCTGCTACATGGGACACCCCGTGTACAAAGGTCTTCATTAAGAAATTTGAGGCTAACTATCTCTGAAACTAGAAAGGGTAGAAACCCAAAGCTATTAGTAGAATGGGAACTGTGGGCACCTGGTACAGCGGGACTGTCCCTTCATGTCTAAAATCTGACATGTTGCTATTGCGCAGCATTTAAGGCAATGTTTTGTTTCAGAGTAAGAGGCAAGGCCAGAGGTATGCACACAACCTGGACAGTTGGCAGAAATTGATGGCCAGAGGTGACTGAAGTCACTGTAGGCAGGCAATGGTAGCAGATCAAGTTCCATGTGGTCTGTTGCAAACAGGAGAATAAGTACAGAGATGCTTCCTCAATGCTGTGTGGTGGTTAAAAACATGTGTATGACACTTTGTCCAGTAGATAATGTTCTGCTACAACATTAACCCATTCTGTGGTAGAAACTGGCAGGACTGGGGAATAAGGGCATCCAGCAACCTATGTAGATGTGGTAGCTTCTGATGCTCAGCCTGACCGGCCTACTCACTAAGCGAGTTTTCAGACACAGGACAAGCGTTGAGGCAATGCCAACAGCTCTGGATCCAGAAAGTACTCCACAGCCAACCTTTTTTTGTTCATAACAAAGTTTGGAAAGTGCCCCATGTGGAACCCAGTGCCTGCAGGTTATTTCCAGGCTGTTTTTAGCATGGTGGTGTTAAAAAGTAATGGTGTAGTTGTATATTGTATCACATTTCATAGTTAATAAATAACATTTCTTCTACAGGCTGTATGTGGTCAATTTGTGGAATCCATGATCAGGGCTGGGCCGAGAGGGCTATTTTTGGCAAAATCCGATTTATGAACTATCAAGGATGCAAGAGGAAATTTGATGTGGCTCAGTTTGAACGACGCTATCATCCCAAGAAATTTGCTCAATGCTAACGCCCTCAATGTTGTAATATATCATGCATCATATATAATCATACTCAGGAAAACGGCAACTGATGATTATTTGCTGTACTGTTGGTAAATGTTTGTTTGGGAGCACACTGCCTTCTTTCATATACAGTACTGTACATTTTCCTCACAATTTCTTCTTTTCACACGTTGGACATTTATCAAGCAAATTGGAAACACGGTGCAAATCGGGCTGCCTCACTCTTAGCAAAGTCTCTGCAACAGGTTTACAGTGTGTTGTGACACATGCATCTGAATTCCTGGGCAGCCAACTAAGACAGGTTTACACAGACGCATAATGAAGTGGTTTCATTTAGTTGCAGTTAGGGATGCACCTATATATATCGGGCGAAAATTGCACTTTTGGCTAAATCCTGAAAGTGCAATTTTCCTGCCGATACATCGGCGCATCCGTGATTTCTTTCCTCCCGTCTGGGCGCTGCTCTGTGTCTCTCCTCCCACACCGCTCAGCCTCCTATCACAGTCTGGCAGAGCGGTTTGTGGGCGGAGACAGCGTGAGTGCAAACACTCAGGGATCAGTGAGCGCTGAGTGTTTGAGGATATAGTACACATACCATGTCCTCAATTATCTGCAATTATGAATGAAGGGGGAGTGATCTATATCCACTCCTGTTCATTCATAGTTCTAGTAAACACACAATATTCTCAAGTTATGAATGAACAGGAACACAGTATAAAGGATTCCTGTTCATTGATAACAGGGGATACAGAAAAAGAGATTGAGAACACAAAGTCCTCTATCTCTTTTCTATTTTAAAAGGGAAATATCAGGGGTCTATTTAGACCCCTAATATTTCCCCAAAGCCCCTTAAAGTAAAAAAATAAAAATATTTAATAAATAATAAATAAAAATGTTAAACAAAATTAAAAAGTATAAAAACATTTTTTTAAATAAAAATATTAAAACAATTTTATTTAGATTTTCATTTCGGTTTTGAAATTTCCATTTCGGTGCATCTCTAGTTGCACTGCAACCAGAGGCTGCAACCCTGAAATAAATCTGTTGCATTCTGTCTCTCTGCTCCTATTTAGCATTTCATTGCTGTGCGACATATTTGATAAATGCCCCCCTTTATCTTTTAACAAGATGTACTGTTACAAGACCTGAAGTGCATTTCCTGTATAAAGTGTAGGACTTGCCACAGTGCCTTAACTCCTGAGTTTACTGTCACCTTTACCTGTTCACAACAGTAAACATTTTGTGACGGTAAATCTAGAAGTATATATCTTCTACTACTTGGAGTGCACATTTGAAATATTTTTAAATATAACTGTTTACAAGTTGACTGTTACAATGTATGCTGAATAACTGTTTTGTCTGTTTGTACTTTTCTACTTTACATTTTTCATAAAATTTCAAGCAGTAGCTTGTGAGTAGTTTTTTTGTTTTGTTTTTTTGTTTTGTTTTTTCCATTGCTCTTATAAATGGCAAATTTTAAAGCTGGAAAAATATTCTTTCTTGCATGTTTGTGTCCTTTTTTTTTTGTTTGTTTAGTTATTCTAGACCTATTTAGTAATCCAGCATTAAACCATTGTTTTGCCCTTTTGCTTCTGTGTAGGACCTATTGTAATAAAGACCGATCACTGCTCTCTCTCTCTCTATCACAATCTCTCTCGACTGGTATATCTGCCCCTCCTCCAGTATTCTGCAGGCCACCTGTAGTGAGTAGATATTCTGTGTCTCACCCACAGCTCTGCACTCCGCACAGTGGTGTAACCACTACGTTTACTAGGTAATATCTGGATTTGCAAAGGAATTTGGTGTTCAGAAAGTGGATTGTATCCTTTGTGGTTATTGAAGACTATACAATACCTGGCCAAAAAAAAGTCACACACTCTAATATTTAATTGGACCACCTTTAGGTTTGATTGTGGCATGCATTCGCTGTGGCAATAAGCTTATGCAATGTCACAACATTTTGAGTTGCATTAGGTTTTCACCTAGATATTGTAGTGATGATGGGTAAAGTCTTCTGATTCTCTATGGCTTAAGGTCTGGCCTATGTGGTGGCCAATCCATGTGTGAAAATGTTGTCTCACGCTCCCTGAACCACTCTCATAATTTCAGCACGATGAATCCTGGCATTGTCATCTTGGAAAATTCCTGTGCCTTCCCCATACCAGGGAACAAAAAAATCAATTGATGGAAAAACCTGGTCATTCAGTAATGCAGCTGACCTCATGGTAGGGGTCATAGCATTGCTGCCCGCGTAGGCCTGTATGGTAGGCACTAGGCACGATCGGTGCATCACTTCATCCACCTCTCTTCTTAACCTTTGTGTCCATCACACTGCAACAGGGTAAATCTGGACTCATCAGACAACATGACCTGTTTCCATTGCTCCAGAGTCCAATCTTTATGCTCGCTATTTAGACTCGCTGATGAGCGGTTTTCTTAAGGTTGCACAGCTGTTTAGTGCCAGTTTCTTGAGCTCTCTTCGCACTGTACAAGTGGAAATGCTCGATATTTAACATAGCCGTGAGTTCTACTGTTGAATTTTTTTACGATTTGATTTAACTAAACGTGTAAGTGATCACAATCATTTAAAAAAATTGTTTCCGACCCCATTTCTTCTTTGAAGAGGATGGTTCACCGCTATCCTTCCCGATTTTAATAATGCATTGGACAGTTTGTAACCATATTTTAATAGTTTCAGAAATCTACTTTTTTTTTTATTGCTTGGTGCAGGTCAATAATTTGACCCTTCTGAAACCGTTACATCTTTTCATGAAAACAGGATATCTTACATGGTTGTTTAAGAAATGAGAAGCTACTCATTGTATGTTGGGGTTAAAGAACTTGTTGCCAGATGAAATCACTAGAAATGATCCAATGGAAGGCTCTTACCTATTTGCTTTGCTAAATCCAGGAAGTGACTTTATTTTTTGGCCTGGTAGTGTGTATAAATTTGGTTTACAGCTGCAGAACAACTCCAAATGAAAAACTATTGATTCAGGAAACATTACCACTCTGTTATCTTTCAGCAACTCTACAAGTCTTCACAATTCAATTTTGACATGTCACAGCCTACAGCAACCTTTCCAGGTAACTAGACTTTATCTAGTGTGGTGTCACCAGTCTTCTGGCAAGAGGATGCATTTCCTCAATCTCCTCTCCCTCACTGATTAGACTTCAACATTGTAGCTTTGTAGAAAGGCACAATGTAGGCTGCAGCATTGGCTCATTTTTAACGGATCTTTTTGAACACCCAAAGAATTGTGTGGGCACCAGGATTTACAGTATCATGACATTTCTCCTGCTCATCATGCTTGAACGGGTGCTGTGGACGGTACAGCGGTCTTTGTGGTTTTTCTTGTGAGCGAATAAAGAATCGGACCCTACCAAAATGGAGATGGGGATTTGAGAAGGTATACGGGGATTGGGGTGTGGGCTGAGCCGGAGGAATGTTATGATCAGCGCTATTTTACTAATTTTAGTGGCTGCGACACCATGAATCACATGAACGTAGTCAGCAGATTAGATATATACAGGTAACCGTGGTATACTGAGGCAGGAAGGACATTTTTATTTCTAAAGCTGGCCATGCACTATCCGAATTTCAGACGGTTCTGGATGAACCAGTCAAAATTCGCACAGTGGATGCCCATGTCGTCGTCCTTCTGCCCAGCATCCCTTGATCAGAAGAATGAAGAAGCAGGTTGAAAAATCTTTGCCCGAATGGTGCTTGCAGCCAATCAGGTAATGCAGCGAATCCTGCATGTTTGAGGTTTGCGATCTGGGGAACTAATATTAGAATTTGCCAAACCTTATTGTTTGTAACCATAATGCACGGTCTGACATTTGAATTTAGGTCAGCTGGCCTAGAAGGATCAATAAGGGGTCTTTTGGATAAGCCAGACTCCTCAGTATAAGAGAGTGGGTTCCCAGCAGCTATATTATTGACAATGTGCTTTAGCTGCGATAGGGAAAGTGTAGTGAGTGCTGCAGATAGAGTGCATAGAGAGAGATTACTGCAGGGCTTTTAGGAACTGGTAGGGCCTAGGTCAAGGGGTTACCCACCTTGGCTCATTGAAAAGGGCAAGCGCCGAGTATTACAGAGGTCCAGACTGGAGTTGTCCCATGATGATGAACAAGGTAGAATCAATTTGAATACTCCTACATTTATCACCACATACTCTAGCAGATATACCGGTAGTAGTAGAACAGAGTACAGAGAGAACAGATTATTTTAAAGAAATCTCCCTAAACTTTATGCTGACCGTAACATTTATGAATTTTTGTTTAATGGCTGTAGGTTCTAAGCCAGAGGGCTCCCACTTTGGGGTCCATCCTTTCCCCATTTTTTTTTTCAGAATCCAGAAAGTGTCAAAGAGAAAAAAAATGTGGTTATCTGTACAAGCTCCGTATAAATGTAGGATTTCTACTTGCAGAGATTGTAAAGGAAATATGAAAATGAAAGAGATTCATTCTTTGTCATCAGGGGAAATTATTCCTATACAATGTTTCATCAATCGTGCTACAAGAAAATGTTGTTTATGTGATTCAATGTAATGCATGTCAAGTTCAAGATGTGGGGTGTAACACGCGGCAACTCCAAACCAGGATTGGCGAGCAGTACTGTGATAGTATTAACTCACAATCACGAGCATGACAAGGCGTTTTATCGCACAGATTCAGTCGCGCGATAAAGTGCAAAAACCCACACAAGTCAATGGTGACAGTTCACACCTAAGTGTCGCGTTGCTTGTGCAATATAGTCTGTTGCACAAAAAGATGCATGAGCTATTTTCAGGCAGGTATCACGCAGTTTCGGTCCCATAGACATCTCTATGCATTGAGAACAGTGTGGTTTTTTAAATCGAAATCACGCAAAAACAGCTCAACAACCGCAATCATCTAGGTGCGAACCAGGCCTTAATAGATTTGCTCCATGTCACCAGAGGAAATTTTTTCTTTTTATGGTTAAATCTGTATTTGAACATCCTTGCTTCTCAGAATTCTTCAGAGCTGTGTCCCTCAATGGTCGATAGAGAATTAGAATTTTGTTCTTACCATAAAATCATTTTCCATTGAGTGACACAGCTCCCTCCCCTCATTTCCTTTCATGCTGCTTGCTACAAGAGCCAG